TTAGCTTTGAGGAGGGCAAGGGTAAGACAGTAATTGTATATGTTCAAGTTTATCCGTTTGAAAAGAAATGGCAAGGCTAAGTGCAATTACTCTTCATAAATATATTTTTATTTTTTCAATATTTTCTTGGCCTTATCTTTCCCATGTCATTATCAGTTTAGATTTTTGATGAGATTTTCAGCTACTTTTATCACGCCACATATCATTATCTGTTCGTAATATTCGCTCTGATTTTTGTTCAAGTGTGAACTTTATAAGATTTTTAGATTTTTTTTTTACCACTAAATTAATTCTGGCCGCTGAAATTTTCAATTTTGTGAAATCAGATGTGCCACAAAGCTCTATGTGGCACATCATCATCGTTTTTCCAATTTTCTTTTACCATTGAAAATCTAACGGTTCAGATCAACAAACCATTGGAAATCCAACGGTCGTGGCGTGCCCAAATTGGAGTTGTTTGGCTCACTTCGATGCATGTGGTGGGCCCAGTCTTCTATTACTTGAAGTCAGGCCCGACACCACCAATTGCCAACAAGCTCAAGGCCCGACAATTGTTGCATAGTGTCTTTATTTCAAACTTTAAATTTATATAACCACGAGCTGGTGGTCCAATGGTAAATGACGGATTATGAGATTTCCTTAAAACTAGAAGCTGAAGGTCTCGGTTCAAAACTCGCTGCTGGTGTGGAAGCAGACTTGTGGCCAGGCCGAGAGTGAAATTTGTGAGTTTTCCTAGTCCCTAGAAGGGGTGAATAACCATGACTTGCTACCAGTTGTCCCTCTTTTTTTTAGAGAAAAAAAAACTTATCATTTATACCATTTAAGTTTTGTCTGAAATAATGTTATATTGTCATACAATTTTGAGCTACTAAATTCTAGCAACAAATCTCGTTCAAGTAAGGTTCTAAAAGATGTTAGGCGTTAGTCGGGCGGCGAGTTGGGGCATAAATTTCATGTAAATAAGTTTCAATTTATACTTAAAATATATGTAATTTAATCAAAAACTACAAAATATGAAGTATTGAAACATTATGAAAACATGAGGAACAAGCAGATAATGTGTATTTATTTAAGTATCCAACAAGTCTCTTACAATTCATTGAAAAAAAATAAAATGCAAAATAAAAGTTATCTATTTTTTTCTAAGTGAGTCGCAATCTAGGTGGGTGCCTAGGCGGCTGTGGGCGGGCTAGACGGGTGCCTAGGCAGTCTAGATGGGTGCCTCAGCAGGTATAGGCGCCTTTTCTTAATTTTCAAACGTCTAGGCATTAATCGAGACGGTGACCAGCCGCCTAGCGCCTAGGCAGTGCTAAGCTGAGATTTTTAGAACAAAGTCTGTAAAATACACTCGAATAAATGTAGTATTGTCCAAACAATTTTAGGAACGATGGACTGGTTAATTTTAAGATTGAGGTTTCAATTTTAGAGCGATCCGTCATAAAGCTTTTGTTATGGTTGTACTTAAGGATATTTTTGGGGCTACCTACATGCCCATGCAGTTGATTTACTGGGAGCTTCATTGATTCACAATAAAATGCAGGGGTACAAAATCATTGAAGGGAGCCCTCCTAAATTTGCTTCTTGCCCTAATTATATGAGGGTGGTGTGGTGGTTAGAATTCAATTAAACCCCATACGTTTAGGATGTTTTCATTTAATCTTGCAAACATACATATTTAAGCAAAATATATCCCACTAAAAATAAGTATTTTTAGGTTTGGTAAGACGATATTGTAAGCTATAATTTATAAGAGAAGAATTTAAACTTGAATGTAAGAACGCGACAGATACAATGTCTTTATCAACCGACCTAATCTATTTTTACGGAGTAAATATAAGTATAGACGCAAACAAAATCATGTGGCTTTTGTTTGTATCTCGTATGGGGGGCTCCCATACTTGGGACTCTCTCGAGCGAGAGTGGTTGTTTAACACTTTGACATCAGATGTTAATGTTTCTATTCGAATTCAATAATTTCTACCTTTCGACAAAAAAAAAAAAAAAAAAATCATGAACACTATAATTCTCAAGTTGGCATGCATTATCTCACAAAAAAACCTTATTATTTGGTTGAACATAGGGACCATAATTTTCCCGAACATGAAACTTTTTTTTTGGAAAACCTTTTCGAAGAAAACAGACAATTTTATTTCAAACACTAGATTACAAAGAGAGGCCCACAAACAAAAAGTACCAGACACACAATGGACCTCCCAACAAGCCCCACAAAGCTCAACAAAAGAGCCCAACACTAGAGACAAAACAAAAGACGTTTCTTAACCCTAGCATCCACCGCCTTCAAAGTTTTTTCGATCAACCCAGAACCAATCTGCCAGCCAATGCCAAATCCAATCGAGCAACTTCATAGAACCCAGCCACGAAAGCCGTCTCGATTGCCCCTATCTCAGCCAGAAAGTGGAAGAAGTCTGAGGGAACACCTCAAACGACAATGCCATTGAAGGCAGACAAAGAGAGGGAGGTGGCGTTGTAAACACCTCAGCCGAGGAGTCCACTGGAGCTCTACGCACCCTCTCAAAAGACCGCAAAAATTTGTGTTGAAATCTGACTACAGATCGAATTGAAAGTAGTGGGGAATACAAGCTTTGGGTAGAGACATATGGATTGAATCAGGAATAACTGGGGAGAAAAACTGAAAAACTAAGAAACAGACAGTGAAATGGAAAGCTTTCCGTCGACCCCCGCCACAGCGAGGGCCGTTGGCAACAATGTTAGACAGTGAGGAAATCACTCACACACAGATGGTGGAAAAGACTCCTAAGAAGAACTCTCACACGGAGAGAAAAGTTTTAATAGTATGAATATGAAACCTATTTTGCACAACCACTAACAAATTGTTTGCACTTTATGCAATCTCTATTAGAAAAGCCACAAGTTTCTCAACCAAGAAAATTGGCATCATAATATCTTCCAAAGGGTGCATATTAGCCTTTTCTTTTTTTTTTTTTTTTTCTTTTAAAAATCACCACTTGCACCTTTACGCAATCTCCATTAGAAAAGCCACAAGTTTCTCAACCAAGCAAATTGGCATCATAATATCCAAAGGGTGCAAATTAGCCTTTTCCTTTTAAAAAACACCAAGAAGCAAGTGCAGCTAGCACCATCACTATGTCTATCCAAATATCAAATGCCCCTTTCTTTCTTTTTCTTCTGCAAAACGGCCGAAGTACCCAGATTCTTCTTTTCTGTAAGAAGCTTGTTAAAGACCAACTACCACACCAACTAACTTAACTACTTATATTATTGGGATGATTTTTAGTCATCACTCTCAATTAGTGGTAATGCTTACCATTTTATTTATTACCGTTTGATGAGTTTAAATTTTGAGATTTGTATCTATTCAAAATATTAAACTCATAATGAGGATAAATAAGGCAGTAAACATCACCATCATTTGAGTGTGGAGAACACAAATATTCCTATAATATTGTACACAAAAGGAGAAAGCTTCCTAATTGCAAAAGCAAAATAGGGAGGTAATAATTGAAGAGTTTTTAAGCTCTTAATTGATGGTATTTAATTTGCTTGGTAATGAGAATTATTTGGGAGTCAGTCACCACCGCATGCATGCAAGCTAATTGGACGAAACAATTCGTGGACCAAATTACACCACCGTATCCTTTGGAAGACATGAAAATTATGAACCAAATTGATTTTTCTCCTAACCGTACCAACCGGCTCACAATAAATTTATAACTCAATCAAGCTTATTTGCTTTGGTAATTAATATTTTGAGAACAATTTATGATGTAATTCATTAAATACTATCAATTGGAGGACAATAATAATTGGAGTACGTTAAAGATAGGTCAATAATTTAAAAGGTTTGTTACGCGACTATAAGTCCCATTATCGTGACCTATTTTTGTTTTACAAACATATTTGGTAGTATCCTATTGACTGCCCAAAAAAAAATCTCTATCGATTGTAATAAATCTGAATTCAGATCTATTAATGAATAGCTAAGAATTTTCATTTTTGTGGGTTTAATAGAAACTCTTTTATTGTCAAGATTGGTAGAACGATTGCTAAAACTATTGGATTTGAATTCAGAGTGCCCATGGCGAATATTGATAGCAACAATGCTAGACAACTTCGATTTGTCATAGGCCATGGACTTTAAAAATGGGGCTAAAATTCTGCAAAAAATGGCCATTTGCAAACCTAGTAACCATACAACCAACTTGAACCTAATCCCCTTCACTTATATGGAGGAGTTTAAATAAGTAACAGTATGAGATTAGTCCACATTCAATAAACATGTCCAGTCACCTTGGTGTTTAAAAGAACATTGCTTGGTTTTAGATCACAATAAATTATCGGTGTTTCGCTATGGTTATGAAAATAATCCAGTGCACAATAGCAACACCAATAACAAAATCTAGCCTTTGAAGAAGATATTAATTCTTGGGTGTATTGATCTCTTACCTCTTCAATTACAGGAGGTGGATGCAAATCATGCAACCACTCCTCTAAACTCCTTTGGTGCATCAACGCATAAACTAGAGCCTTGAAATCATCATCGAGAAAACATGTAGACATGACCTTGATGCGATTTTGATACTTGATATTTCTCAAAGCCTCGTATTCGGCTATGAAACTCTTTGATGCTCCGTGACGTAACATGCTAAACACCTTCATAGCTACAAGTATAAGCTGAGCTCTATTGTCAGTATAAAGAACCCTTTTGTATACAAACTCGAAACTGCCAACACCAGTCAAATTAACTGAAGAAAACCGATCAGTGGCTTTTGAGAAAGTAGCAAATGACATTTGCAAGTAGATCAAGTCCGAATACTAAAAGGATTATTAATTTTGAAAACACCTTACACTGATGGTGGTCAAGTCTGATAGGAAACTCAACTCACCATCTTTACAACCTCTAAGATGATTTTATTGAATGTTGAGGGTCTTGAGGTTTCGAATCTTTCAAAAATTTGGAATCTGTCAATGTGAATATTTAACAATTTTGTGGCACGAGCTAGACTTTAATCGATGTGAATATTACACAAAAATACCAAGTACAAGAAGTAGTAATACACTTTTCATACAATGAACCTCATTGGTGATTATTTACATTGCAAACTTCCACATCTAATGTGGTAACATAAAAGCTAGACTTTATAGGCAGTACACGAAATTTCTCTATCACAAAAGCACATAAAAAAGAGTTTCTATCCAAGAAAACTATTCCTAATGGAATGAAGTTCAGATGCAGTATCATTGATATTCTTTAGTCGATCTGTTGCGGATTCAGCAGAACAAGCGATTCCAATTCTAAATATTGAACTCAAGCACACCTCAACTTAATTTATGAATTCTTGCACTGCATTGATTGGGATTCTCGTTCGTGCCTCCTTGAAGAAGTGGTGCATCTGCAATTTCAGTAACTCGCCCAGGGAGAGCCATCTTTACAAAATTATGAAGGTTGAAGCTATCACCAAACATGTTGTCAGTGGGTCTGTTCCCTGTAAACATCTCCAACAAGAGAATGCCAAAGTTGTAGACATCACCATTCCTTGACACCTCACTCCCCATGCCATACTCTACAATTCAAACATACATTTGTGTATAAATAGTTCATAATGAAGTTTATATCTAACATATATATATACCTGGAGTTGCATAACCAACCGTTCCTCTTATTCCAACGGAACTTGTCTGATTCTGAATTGCTGAAACATTACTCGTTACTTGTGAGAGAAACCTTGCTAATCCAAAGTCAGAAACATGGCTAGTCAGTTCGTTGTCCAAGAGAACGTTGCTTGGCTTGAGATCACAATGAATTACTGGCATTTCACAATGATTATGAAGATAATCCAGTGCACAAGCAACACCAATGGCAATTTCTAGCCTTTGAGCAAGACTTAACTTCTTGGGTACATGATCTCTTAACTCTTCAGTTCCAGTAGGTGCATGCAGCCACTCCTTTAAGCTCCCGTTGTCCATGAACTCATAAACTAGAGCCTTGAAATCATTACCATGAAAATCAACACTTGAACACACGATTATAATCTTGACAAGATTTCGGTGCCTAATATTTCTCAAAGCTTCACATTCGGCTATGAAACTCCTCGAAGCTCCATGGCGTAACAAGTTAAACACCTTCACGACAACAAGTTGAGCTTTATCATCCTCATCAAGAACTCCTTTGTACACAGACCCAAAACTACCAGCACCAATTAAATTAGCCTCTGAGAACCTGTCAGTAGCTTTGAGTAGAGCATCATATGACACTTGCAAAATAGTGTTCCCCAAAGTGCTCAATGAAATTTCTTTCCTTTTCTTCCTTGAGCACTTTGGGGAACACTATTTTGCAAGTGTCATATGCTACTCTACTCAAAGCTATTGACGGGTTCTTAGAGGCTAATTTAATTGGTGCTGGTAGTTTTGGGTCTGTGTACAAAGGAGTTCTTGATGATGATGATAAAGCTCAACTTGTTTCCGCGAAGGTGTTTGACTTGTTACGCCATGGAGCTTCGAGGAGTTTCATAGCCGAATGTGAAGCCTCGAGAAATATTAGTCACCGAAATTTCGTCAAGATTATACAATTGAGTGTGGCGTTGGTCAAGTCCGAGAGAAAACTTAAGTCACCGTCTTTACCGCTTCCAATATTATTCAATTGAATATTGAAATACACGAGGTTGTGAAGCTTTTGGAGATTGGGTACCCGTCCGATTAAGTTGATAGCCCCAATATCAAAATACAAAACACTTATGACGTTGAATATTGACGGAGGAAAGGACCCAGTGAGTTGGTTTGAGTGGACGCTGAAGAATTCGAGATTAGGAAGATTTTTGCCAATATCTGATGGAATACTCCCTTGAATTTGGTTAGATGACATGTCACATGTAACAAGAGAAGAGAGGTTATAAACGGAGGAAGGTTAAAATTTTCAATTGGCCAAGAGAACTGGGGATGTTTCCCATCAAGTTATTAAGAGCAAGACCTAGTCCCTGGAGAGACGAAAGGTTACCTAAGGAAGGAGGGACTCTGTCCCGTCACATTATTATAATTTAATGAAAAAAGTTGAAGCAATATGTTATATTGCGTGGAATACTGCCACTAATTGCATTAACGTCTAATCGCAATACCTGCAATCTACGCAAATTCCCAATTTGTGAAGGAATTTCATGACTGAAGATGTTGTTTTTCAGCCACAGCTCCCTTAGAAAACTCAGATTTCCTCCGTTTGGGGATAATTTCCCTACCAGATTTTGAGATTGCAGGTCCATGTTAGTGACCCTTTGGCGATGTCGTCGACTGCATGTCACACCATGCCACATGCAAAAGTGCGTGGAATCGTTCCAGGAGCTCATCACGTTGTAATTATGGAGATATTGCTTTATTTGAGCTTTGATGGCAAGTAGCGCCAGCCTATCCGTCGCATTCCCTCTGAGTCCCGATTGCAGGGAACTCCAACAGCAAACGAACACTGCACTGAAAAGCAAGTATAGTAAGATCAATTTCACAACCAAAAACCCCATTCCCGATTGCAGGGAACACTGCACTGAAAAGCAAGTATATAACTAGAGAGAGAAGCAGAAAGAAATAGAGAGATAGGAGGAACTTACACCACAGTGACAAGGAAATTTATAGAAGGATAGGATCATAGGAGGAACTTACACCACAGTTTCTGGTTCTTGAAAATTCAAATATGAGAAGGAATAAGTCCAAGTAAATGATAACCACTTTGGTTACTTCCACTACTGGGAACTGTTGTTTGGCACTTTCGGTGAACGCCCAAGGACCAAGACCATTAAAGCACCTCGAGTCCAGAAGCTGACTGGAAACATTTTGGCAACCATACATAATAGCATTATCATCCATAATTCATTTTGGCAATCATCAAAAATGGAAAAACAAACACGTGGAACCCAATGTTTTCTCACATCAGACGTCACGTTGGTGTCATCTAATATAAAAGTTACCCTAGGATCATAGGAGGAACTTACACCACAGTTTCCAATTCTTGAAAATTCAAATATGGGAAGGAGTAAGTCCAAGTAAATGATAACCACTTTGGCTTGTTTTTTTAGACGACTTCACTACTGGGAACTTTACCCCACAGCTTACTTCCACTACTGGGAACTGTTGTTTGGCACTTTCGGTGAACGCCAAGGACCAAGACCATTAAGGCACCTAGAGTCCAGAAGCTGACTGGAAACATTTTGGCAACCATACATAATAACACTATCATCCATAATTCATTTTGGCAATCATCCAAAATGGAAAAACAAATACATGGAACCCAATACATTCTCACATCAGACGTCACTCTTGTGTCACCTAATATGAAAGTTACCCTAGCAAGGCGACCCTAGCTATGAATGGAAATTTTGAGGACTGTTCGTTTTCTGAGGGGCTGGATTGTGAAATTGCTGATTTTCTCATAGTTCCCCTAAAGTATCATTGCAAGAAAGCTTGTTGTGGATGCAACCTTTTTAAAAATGGTAACAATTACTAGTGAGATCAAGTTTTCTTAATTTTTAAACTTCATTGGGGCTCAAGTCTCTAGCAAGAGAATTCCAAAACTGTAGACGTTACCAGTTATTAATGCCTCGCTTCCCAAATATTGTTAACAAATTGAGAACAAAATAGTTGAATTATGCAAAAGTTTAAAAGAATAAAAAAGAAGATATTTTGGAGAGGATGTGAATATTTACCTAAAACCACATAACCAATCATTCCTGTTATTCCAGCGGAAATTGTCTGATTTGTTGAAGCTGTTATGTTGTTCAGTTGTGAGAGAAGCCTTGCTAATCAAAGTCAGAAACATGTCTAGTAGTCAACTTGTTGTACAAAAGAAGAGTACTTGGCTTCTGTAGAAAAAGGTATGTAGGCTAAAAATTATATTTGTTATTGATACATGAATGTGGAAAAATGGAAGAGAATGCAAATGGAAGAGAATGCTTATGGAAGAGAATGCAAATGGAAGAGAATGCTTATTTTTTCATTATCTTTCTCTACAAGATTACAAGGATATATATACATGATACAAATGTGTAGGTAGGACGGCTAATAGACAAGCTAGGACGGCTAGGAGACAAGCTAGGACGGCTAGTGACAAGCTAGGACGGCTAGGAGACAAGCTAGGACGGCTAGGAGACAAGCTAGGACGGCTTGACGGCTGTAGGACGACTTATTCTTCCAATACTAATATTATATACAATTACACAAGGATTCCAACCATATTCCTTATTTGTCTAACACTCCCCCTCAAGTTGGAGAGTGGATGTCAAGAACTCCCAACTTGCGTAACATACCCGAAAACTTTTCTTTCCCAAGAGGTTTGGTAAACAAGTCTGCCAACTGTTGTGCCGTACCCACATGCTTGGTCTCTATTGTGCCATCTACAATCTTATCTCGTATAAAGTGACAATCCATCTCAATGTGACGAGTTCGTTCATGAAAAACAGGATTGGCAGCTATATGTAACGCTGCTTGATTATCACAAAATAAAATGGAAGGACCATCCAAAGGAATGTTCAAATCCTTCAACAAAAAACGAAGCCAAACTATCTCGCAACAAGCACTTGCCATGGCCCTATATTCCACCTCTGCTGAAGAGAGCGAAACGGTTTTCTATCGTTTCGTCCGCCAAGAAATCAAAGAACCGCCCAAGAATACACAATACCCAGTAGTCGAACGGCGAGTGATAGGGCAACCTGCCCAATCAGAATCACAAAACGCAGTTAACTTGGTCTGGTTGTCAGAACGAAATAATAAACCTTGACCTGGAGTAGCCTTCAAATAACGAACAATACGAAGCGCAACATCCATATGAGATATCATTGGCTCGTGCATAAAACGGCTTAGAACATGCACAGAATAGGTGATATCCGGCCGAGTGATAGTGAGATATATTAACCGACCTACTAATCGTCGATACTTTTCAGGATCCTTGAGAAGTTCGCCTTTATCAGATAATTTTGTGTCATCCATAGGAAAAGCAATGGGTTGTGCTCCCAAAAAACCATAGTCCTTGAGAATCTTTAATGCATACTTGCGTTAAGAAATATAAATCCCTTGTTTGGAACGAGAAACCTCAATACCCAAAAAATATTTTAAATCACCAAGGTCTTTTATCCGAAAATGATCACGGAGAAAAGACTTCAGAGAATTAATGGCACTAGCATCATTGCCTGTAATCACAATATCATCCACATAAATGAGCAAAGCTGTGAAAGAAATACCAGACTTTTTAGTGAACAATGAATAGTCAGCTTTGGATTGTTGAAAACCGGCAGAAATGATGGCACTAGTGAATTTGGCAAACCATTGGCGAAAAGCCTGCTTAAGACCATAAAGTGACTTGTGAAGGTGACACACAAGATTCTCCCCCTGTCGCCGAAGACCAGGAGGAGGAGACATATAGATTTCTTCATGTAAGTCACCATGTAAGAAAGCATTATTAACATCAAGCTGATGAAGAGACCAAGACTGACTAGCAGCAAGAGCAAGAAGACAACGCACCGTAATCATCTTAGCAGTAGGAGAAAAAGTGTCATGATAATCAATACCTTCAGCCTGAGTGAAGCCTTTAGCAACCAAACGAGCTTTGTAGCGGTCAATAGAGCCGTCGGAATTGTGCTTGAGTTTGTACACCCACTTACAACCAATGGGAATTTTGCCAGGGGGTAAGGAAGTTAAAGTCCAAGTACCATTAGCATGTAAAGCTTGAAGCTCCTTAGTCATAGCACGTTGCCAATTGGGGTCAGTGGCAGCCTCGGCAAAGGAGGAAGGCTCCACAGTCCGACTGACAGAGTTAATGTAAGAAAAATGCCGGGGAGAGTAACGGTGATAAGAGAGAAAATTACAAAGTGGATATCGCGTACCTTGTGTAGAACCGGGTTGCGAAGTCGAAGATGGGTGGGATGGCAAAATCACCTGTGAGCAAACGTAGTCTTTTAAATAGGATGGAGGTTTATGGGCACGGGAAGAGGTGCGGGGAAGGGGAGGATTGGTAGGTAGTGGGGGGGTAGGGATGTCCGTGGGTAAAAGGGTGAAAGGTAAGGAAGTAGCGCGGGGGGGGGGGGGGGAAGGAGGGGATGCCGAGAGGGCAGGGGCATGGGGAGGAACGGGTAATGGGGCAACAAGGGAATCTGTGGGAGGCGTGGAAGGGGAGGAAGGTGGAGGAGGGTGAGGCGTCGGGGCAGGAAGAGGGGTGAGTTATATGTAAAGTCCAGAGGGGGTGGGATGGGTAGGGTAGGCGAAGAGGATGGGATAGGAGGGTGAGAAACGGCATAAAGGAAAGTACTTTCGTGAAAGATGACGTCTCGACTAGTGAAAATGCGGTGATTGTCGAGATCGTAAAGGGTATAGGCCTTTTGTCCACCGAGAAAAATGCAACGATGAGCCCGAGGGGAAAATTTGGTGGTGGGAGTGACAGAGGTGGCATATGCCAGACAACCAAAGACGCGGAAGTGGTCATAAGATGGGGTTTTCGAAAAGAGAACCTCAAATGGGGATTTATGATGGAGAAGACGGGTAGGGAGACGATTGATGAGATAAGTAGCGGTAAGAACACATTCCCCCCAAAACTTGATAGGAAGATGAGATTGAAAACGAAGGGCGCGAGCGGTTTCAAGAAGATGACGATGTTTTCTTTCAACAACGCCATTTTGTTGGGGGGTATAAACACAAGAAGTTTGTAAAAGCACCCCATGATCAGAGAAAAAACTACGAAGAGATAAAAATTCACCACCATTGTCAGTACGAATGCATTGGATGGTAGTGCGGAATTGGGTAGTGACATAAGCAAAAAAATCCTTAATTAATTGTTGAGTGTCGGATTTATGTTTCATGAGGAAGACCCACGTAAAGCGGGAAAAATCATCCACAATGGATAAGAAATAATTAGCACCAGAAAGAGAAGATTGACGATTCGGGCCCCAAATATCACAATGAATTAAAGCAAAAGGGAAAGTTGATGAAATTGAACTCAAAGGAAAAGGTTGACGAGTTTGTTTTGCCAACGGACAAACATCACAAATATGACTAGAATCAAAAGTGCAATTAAGAGAGCTAGATGCTAAAGCTTGCAAACGAGTGGAGGAGGGGTGACCAAGATGCCTATGCCAGAGGGAGGAGGGGATGGTAATGATGTTGCAGAGAGGTTGATGGGTGGGGAGAGAAGAGGTAAGGGCTACAAGGTAATACAGATCGCCACGTCGCTTACCCACACCAATCATCGCCTTCGAAACCAAGTCCTGCAAAACACACCAAGAAGGAAAGAAGGTTATGGAACAGGATAATCCATCTGTAAGTTTACCAACCGATAAAAGGTCCACTCGGAAATTAGGGACACATAAAACATCCTTCAAAGTAACTGAGGAATTTAAAGGAAGAGTGCCGGTAAAAGTAATGGGAGCGGAAGCACCACTAGGCAAAGAAACAGGCGGCAAATGTGAAGGAGAACGATTAACCAAACATGAAGCGGAAGAAGTAATATGATCCGTAGCACCACTGTCAAGAATCCATTGACCATGACGAGAGGTGACAGGTAACAAACCTTGGGCAAAATCAGTAGTGAGCACGGCATTGGCCTGATGAGGGGTGGTGGTGTCACGTAGAGCAGCTAGAACACGGGAGTGCTGCTCGGCAGAGAGGTCAGGCATGGCAAGCTGCAAGTCATGCAAAGTGGGCTGGGTCCCGTGCACTTGGTGGGTCGCTGGAGTAGAAGAGGAGGCGGGGGCCTGGGTGCCTTGCACGTGATGGGCCTGGGTGAAATTATGGGGCCGGGAAGCAGAAAACCGTGGCTGCTGGGGAGGACTGGAAGGTGCATGGCTGCGGGAAGAACTGGAAGCAGTGGCACGGCGCGGTGGTCGCCACGGTTGGCCATGGAGGGGATGGCCAACGGGATAGCCATGAAGTTTATGGCAGGTGTCTCGGGTATGATAATCAAAATTGCAGTAGGTGCAGTGGAGGGGAGGACGAGCAGAGGAGGGACGAGACGGGCCACGAACAGCCATGGGAACGACAGAGAAAGCTGCCGAAAAAAAAATTAGGGCTAAGGTTATAAACCTGCTCTGTATACCATGTAGAAAAAGGTATGTAGGTTAAAAATTATATTTGTTATTGATACATGAATGTGGAAAAATGGAAGAGAATGCAAATGGAAGAGAATGCTTATGGAAGAGAATGCTTATGGAAGAGAATGCAAATGGAAGAGAATGCTTATTTTTTCATTATCTTTCTCTACAAGATTACAAGGATATATATACATGATACAAATGTGTAGGTAGGACAAGGTAGGACGGCTAGTAGACAAGCTAGGACGGCTAGGAGACAAGCTAGGACGGCTAGTGACAAGCTAGGACGGCTAGGAGACAAGCTAGGACGGCTAGGAGACAAGCTAGGACGGCTTGACGGCTGTAGGACGGCTTATTCTTCCAATACTAATATTATATACAATTACACAAGGATTCCAACCATATTCCTTATTTGTCTAACAGCTTCGGATCACAATAAACTATCGGTGTTTCGCATTGATTATGAAGATAATCGACTAATCAAGAGCACAAGCAACATCAATGGTAACGCTAAGCCCTTGCAAAAGATTTCAACTCTTGGGTGCCTCTCTTGCTTCTTCAATATCAGTCGGTGGATGCAGTCACTTCTCTAAGCTTGCTTTTTCCATGTACTCATAAACCAAAGACCTGAAATCATTACCAAGAGAATCAACACTTGAACATGGAGTTATAATCTTGACGAGATTTTGATGCTTGATATTTCTCAAAGCCTCACATCCAGATATAAAACACTTTGCTGCTCCACAGCGTAACAAGTTAAACACCTTTACGGAAGCAACCATTTGAGCTCTATCATCAAACATCGAGAACTCCCTTGTACACAACCCCAAAACTGCCAAAGAACAAATCAGAAAAACATTAGAATTTCAAACCAATTAGTTAAAACAGTTCATAAAAACAACTGTACATAGTTAAAACAGCTCATAAAAACAACCGTACATGATGTCGATCAGCATCAAACTATTATTTTTTCAATCTTTTCAATTAGACGGCATCTTGAAACATTTCAAAATGAGGCTCCACGTCTACATGTACAGGATATCCAAAACAATCTTTGTTCCCATAGATGTGATGGAAAACTGAAATAATCTCTCAGCTTCTGTTTCAATCAATTTTATTCTGTAAAATGGAATACTATGTCTAAAACTAAAGTTTGAACCCCATCTTCGGTGTATAAACTCTTTTCTTTGCTCACCGCTGAATAAAACGTCCTCTTGTTTCCATCAAACCAAACAACAGACCAGTGTAAGTTATAACGCAACCAGCACTTTATGACCGCTACTCTAGGATTACAATTCAATAAACAAATGCATAGGAAATCCTCTGTAGATTAATCGTAAGGTAACTAAAGCCATCCGGAAAGTGTTTCTAGATTTATGAAAGAAGTTTTGCACTTGGTAACTAATTTATTATTCTACAACTTATGTCGTGTGCTTTATCTTTTACTACAAACACTTATGGATGTGGCCACACATGCATGATAACATACATGAAGTTAAAAATCCAGATGCACACCAAATCCAAATTATTGCTCAAGCCAAATTCCAATGAATACAAGACTCAGCATATTGGCAAGCACATGGAAAACTCCAGCATGTAACCACATACATGAGATCAGCCGCCATCCCTGGTGTTGATGAACCACTCCTTGCGCGTCTAGAGCACCCATCTTTTCTAATCTTCAGGATGAAAACACATGAGAAACAAGTTAGATATGCAACTGAGACCTATTGACCCTTATGGGGCATGTCTATAGCTCTTATTTCCAAACAGATGACAGCTCCCTCGCCCTTGTAGTGCTACTTTTAGCAGTTATAGACTTCGGATGATGCACACTGAAATGAGCACATTAAACAGCTTAAAGAATGACAAACAAGTCCTTTAAGAATGCACACCAGCTCATACCAGTGATATTAAGACAAAACAATTTCCATGATCATTCTAGCATTGGCCTCACAGACCAAGGAAAGTCAAATGAAAACGAAAATTTTGAAACCAAGTCGCTAAAGAACACTAATGTAAAACTTTAACCCTATAACATACTACAGGGGACATTTTGATTAACATAGCAATCTAATCAATCCAAGTAGTTAACTACTGCAGCTCTTCGAGCACCTTTCTTCTTTGTTCAAGCATTTCCGATACGCCGACATCAAATAGACATCAAGCATGGCCTGAATGTCACTAAATACCTAAAACCATCATTACCCCTCAAGCTCCTTTAAGTTTCTCAACTAATCGTAGATTCGCTTGTATATTCACTAGGTTTCCCAAGTCCAACATTGATTAAAACCGGAATTACATCAAGCTTCATGCAGTTCAACTATTTTCTTTACTCATATATCTAATATAACCAAAATTCCAAATCCACCAAGTCACAAAATTTGCCAAAAAATTTGTAGAAACATAACTTTCACAATTACTCTTACCTAAAAAAGTCTCAACCTTGATTGATCCTACTCATTTCACAAAAAAATATAAAACCAGTCCAACTATCCAACCCTCCTCATCATTATTTCACCAAAAACACACAAACAAAAGCAACTTACATGAAATGGGACCGCCACTGCGTCAGTACCCCACAATCCACAACTAAAGCTTTCCAAATTTCCACATGCGAGCACCCAACAAATCCCTAAACACAGAAACTAATAAGAGAGTGAAGCTTTACGTGGTTGAAGACGGCCCAAGAAGTGGGTACTATTTGTTCATTAGTAAGACTCGAAACCGAAAGATATAAGTTTTCTATGAGGTGAGCTTCTGATAATTCTCTGTTTGTGCCAAAATTAAAGGTTGTGGATCTCTATGTTTGGTTGAGTTTTGTAACTGGAGGAATCATTCCCCCAGATCACGAGCTTGCATCTACACAGAAATAAATCTGCCGCACAGTTGGTAGTGGGAAATGAAAATTGTACTGTTATTTTGTTGCAACTATGACCTCCGAAAGACGACATTCATGTATGAGCAAGAGGGGGGTTACTGACGAATTATTTGATCTGGGTAACTTCCGGAAGGTAACTTCTGGAGTTGTTAATTTTTGTGAAATATTTGATCTGGGTTTTGTTGTTTTCTAATTTCGCTCTGCATCCTTTATATGTCCATCAGTTGGCACTCCATGGTATAAATTAACTCTAAATCTTTGTTGCCAACTGTTTTGTTTTTTGAATTACAGAAAATTTACTAGGTTTAATTGTTTTTAATTTTACAGTTTAATTGTTTTCCCCTATTATGATCGAGTGGTAAATTAGTTGAATTCCACAGAGAACGACTAGCTGAATGCATTTTCTTAAATATCTTGGCACACTATGGGGATTTGTTGTTTTCATACTGTTTAATGTGAAACGTATGTACAGAACTTGAGAGGATTTATATGTAGTCACCTTCAGTAATATTAGTAGTGTTGAAAACTAAAATTGAAGGAAACGAAGTTATCCGAAAAATGTAGAAACCTTGAATGGTGAATGATTCTTGGGATGAGTCGTAGACTAAGTCACTCTCTTTAAGACGTTTCGCGGCTCTGCCCAAAGTGTGCAAGTAGTTCACAAACACCACGTCGTCCCTAGGATAAAACAGCCCAGAACGTTATTCTTCTGATAAAGTTCTTCCTTGCACAATGCAAGAACCCTCGAACTCAGACCCTCTCAATATGTTGCTTATCAAAACTATATATCAGAAAAAATATACATTTTTTCGTATTCTTTCAGTGATTCAGGGACTACTATATATACTATATAAGAAAGAGACGTTGATGGTTTGAGAGATTAATGAGAGCTTAAAAGCAGGACAAAACGGAAAAAAAAAACAAAACGTAAAGTAATCGCACAGAAAAAAGCAAAACGGTTTGAATATATATAAAGTATATCAGATGATTATACTTTTCTATGTATAGGGACTGCTTTACAGGTTATTAACATAAAAATTAATCAAAACATAAAAGCAATTTCAAAATGGAAAAGCCAAAACGGTTTGAATATGTTTAATGACCTGATCTTCTTCTCTACATAGAAAAGAAATCACACGTTTCATATTTAAGAGGAGATAACTCCTTATCTAATTGATAAGGTCAAAATAAATTGACTGGTATGCATATAATATTGGTAATTAAGCAAAACATAAATATATATATATATTATTTAAACATTTAAATAAAAACATATTTACTCCAACAAGTAGCATGCGTATTTCATTACCCTGATACTCTTCTAGCTGCCAGTTGGACTATCATAAATTCATAATACTATTATCGGTTTTGAAAACTTTAAAATGTGATTGTTTTCTGCGAACTATGACAGAGTCTAATCTTTATTTCTGGATTGCAATCATTACAATTGTGGTAAGTACAGATTATACTCATCTCTTTTTCAGTTTCGGTTTGTCACCTGGTTCATAAAAACTAACTAAACTAACTGCAGCTGCAACAGAATTATGCTTAACGAGTCCACCATAATCAAAAGTCTAAGCAAAGGATTATTCAACTATTTTGCTTAAGAATGTTCAGTTCACTGTCCCAAAAAATACATATTAAACTGGCTTTAATTTGAAAAAATAAAAATAAAAAAATCCATTGCAAGAGTATAGTAAACAAGGGGTGTGCTATCCACACATCTCATTTTACTTCTCACACACCTCTTGATAATTTATGTCCATTGATCTTCTTCAATTCATCCAATCAAACGGTCGAAAATTAAAAAAAATGTGAAAAGTAAAATAGGGTGTGTGGATATCACATCCCTAAAGCAAAGAACCACAATCTTTTTACTTACTTTTTCAGCTTTAGAGTAATGGGTCCCTTTTCTTCTCTAAATCCTAATTTTTAACTTCAGTTCAAAGGCCATTACATTGCAAATGCCTCTTATTTTTCCATTGAAGTATACATCTTAAGTTGGAATAGGGGAAATCCATTCTGGTCAATCATCTAGCCAACAAAGATTTACTCCAACTCCTTTCAAAGTCTTAATCACATTTCGCAAAAGTTCATTACTTTTTTTACGAAAGATTGGATTGCCGATCACTAAATTTTATCTCATTTTCGAGAAGGTACCTTTTTCTAGAACGCACTTGATTTCAATTCTTATTGAGAAAAAAAAAAAAAACTTATCTTCTGGGGATATTCTTTTGGGCATGCAAGGGTTAAAATAATTTGGGTTTTATTTGCTGGAAGGTGAATCACTTAAGACTGAAGCTGATTTGATTAGAAAAAATTGAGAATTAAGAAAGTTTTGACGGAACAAGAAGAAGAAGACTGGCACGTGATAGAATCTAAATCAGGAGGAGGAAGAAAGGCAATAGCTCAACGTAAAAGCTAAAATCAATCCCTCCTCAACAATGGCAGCGGAGACAACGATGACCACCAGGTTCACCTTTTTAATTTAATTTTAATTTTTGCTTTTTTGGATTTAAGAAAATGAAACAAATTCTCATTTTAAAAGGCGAACATTTGTTGATTAGATTCTGTAAAAGGGTTTTACTTTGACTTTTTTTTTTTTTTTTTTTTGGCAGCGTAAGCCTTTACACTTTAGAGCAAGCACTTCAACTCGAAACCTTAGATAAAACCCAATTTAATTGGAAATGGGAGAGTATGAATTAATTAGAGCATGACAAGTAGATAGATATGGGTCTTTTTCTTTTTTCTTTTTTTCAATTGAGCTCTTGAAGAGTTTTTGTATAGAACTTTAGTTGTCAGGATGTGTTTTCTGATTTTCCATTTTTTGTGGGGTCTTGGGTGGTTGCAGTAGGATGAATCAGAAAATGTTGATGAACCTGTGGAGGGAGCAATTTTTCGGTGTACCCGGTACACCAAAAAAATTTGGTGTACCCTCACTCATAATGGTGAGGGTACACCAAAAAAATTTGGTGCACCCTCACTTTTTGTACACCAAAAAAATTCTAATGAGTGAGGGTACACCTAAAAATTTTCCCTGTGGAGGGCCTGAGCTGAAAACGAAAGCCAGTGTAGCTTCAACCAACAATCAAAAATCAAAGAAGAAGAAACAAAAGAAAAGCAAAGAGGCTTCTTCATCTTTTTCGGATGCTTCCAACGTCAAAAAGCCCTTTTGAGATTTTGTGGTGGAGGATATATTGCAATGCAGGGCATGCGTTAATCGCGCCGCACCACAAGTAGATAAGCAATTTATCTTACTCTAGATTAAAAGAAAAAAAAAAAAAGAAAAAAAAAGGGTATGTGTATTAGGGGCTTTTTTGGGGCCGTTTTTCTAATTTTAGGGTTTTTAAATTTGGTATTATGGGTTCTGTTTGGATGCTCATAAAGTATGAGGGCAGCATGTATATTGAATTTGGTGTTCTGGGTTTGTTAGTGAAATCAAAGTTTCCATAACTTTTTGAGGTGTTTAAAGCTTTTGGTTGTGGAATGTTTAATATTTGAACTATTAGTAATTATTCTTAGGACATAAATTGAATAATGAAAACAAGTGAATTGAAGTGTTTCTAATTTGTATTATTTGAAGCTATGAAAATTAGTGTTTGTTTTCCACTATTTCACTTAGAAATCCGCCTTTTTAAGTCGTAGAAGTCTCTCATTTTTTGTTTGGTGGAGCATTTTCTTTTCTTTTCTTTTTTGTTTTTGATGTTGTTGATTTTATTATAAATATAGCAGAGATATGTGGAATGAGAGCTTCTGAATAACGAATCATCAAATATCATCTGGACTCTAGAGGTTGGATAAAGCAAAATTAATAACCCAAAGTATAATCCGACAAAGAAACACATTACAAAACCCAAATAGAAAAAACCCAATTGAAATTCAAGTGTCCACTGTTCAAATTTCAAAGAGATAAAAGCTAATAAACAATAGTATCATCTTCAACGGTTTCAAGACCCGCAGTAGAACGCGGGCATTTTTGCTAGTTATTACTTTAGTCTAAAGACTTTACATTTCTTTGAACACCTCCAAAGAAAGGACTTCGAGAGTGAAATACTGCACCTTATGCTTAAGCCTCAACAATTGTTGTCTCTCTATCTGCCTAGATGTAAGCATCTGCATGTAGTCTCCAACAGTTCACACATGAAGCCAAAAATTAACCAGTAAAGACTTGCACAGATATACAAAATTAACTCCAACAAGAGCATGTAGTGCAAAATTAGCATTGCATATGCAGAGAATGGAGCAAATGCAGCCAAGAACTTACGTACAATAATCAAGTTTCTAGATATTCTTCTCAACCGCAATACCTCTAAAACTAGCGTTTTATGTACAGCTTCTGCCTCTGAACCTTTGTATTCCTTTGCAATTGAACTCTTGACAAATTATAATACGGAGAGCACTTTTAGAAAAGATAAACATATGATTAGAATATGACCCTACTAAATAGAGCCACTACAACCAAACCAATGCGAAAAAACAAATCAATCATTAGCCCAAAAATTAATATCAAATGTGTACCCTGTCTGCAAGTCCTTTGCACAAATAAACTGGAAACTGCAAAGTTTAAGAAAGAAACATCACTCAAAATTTATATTAAAATTCTCAAACATCAGCATTTCATCTCAGGGTGTTTCCTGAAAGAAAAATCGACATGTCCAGCATTGAATCCAGAGATATCCTATGGGGATTTAGTACTTGAAACAATGTAGAGAATTGAAACATCTCATCACAAAACCATTGAGCTTGGCCGAACACAATCATGCAGACATACACACCCTATTTGGCATGGATTTCCATCCACCAACAGTTAGATTAAAGTCCCAGTTGAAATTTCTCTTGGTAGATTGATCAGTCAATTAACTGGAACCCATTTGATTCTTCCTAGCTAATGAAACAGTAAAAAAGGGTTGTAAAACAAACAAAACAACTAGTAATTACTACTGAACCTGCAGGAAAAAAAAAACCCAGAATTTTAATCATCATACACAACTAAGTGTTGTTCTTTATAGCAATTCATAAAATCACCGACCAATTTCTAGAATAGAAACATTATGAATAAATCAATACGATAATTAGGAAAATATCAAACAAGAGGATAAACTAAAAAAATTAAGAAAAATAACTTTTACCTTATAAATCGAGAAGAGCTTAGAGTGTGTTCTGAGATGGTGAGCTCACAATGTTATCCAAGAGAAGCTAGGCTAGATGAATCATCTTTCCGCCATCAATGGTGGACATTCGCTGCCGAGAATTCAGTCAATCTTGGAGATCGATTCCCATTTCGACTGACAACGGCGATTGTGCCAAAGCCGCCAACGCCTCTGAAATCTCATCCACCGAGACATACGCCGGCGAGATCTCATGCTCTCTAGTTGGAGAGAAAGACGAAGATCCAGTATTGGGAGTACCTGAGATGCGCTAAGAAATAGAAAAATTAGGGTTCACATGGTTTATGCAAACAAGTCAAAGAAAAATGTACAGGGAGTGAGATTTTGGAGATAGAAATGAGTAGTTTGGGGTCGGAGATAGAAATGAGTAGTTTGGGATCGGAGAAATCGTCGACATATGCGAATTGGGGAGACCTGGTGGTTGGTGGCGTCTAAATTATTGTAATATTTGAATCTGCGATTTTTTTATGTAATTATCATATTGTAATAAATTTTATACATATTAAATTATTTTTTTATTTTTTTTATTTTTGGAAATATTTTTTATCACGGGGATTAGCTGTGGTTGAATTTGTAATCCACAAAGGCCATAATGAATGTGGTGTTAGATCACAATCTACTACAGGCACATTTCGTGTTTATATTACGTTTGACAATAGGCACAATCCGTGGTAGAAATTAAGACTTTTTATCACATCCGGATTACTAACCGGCACAGTGTTTGTGGTGGATTGAGCATTTTTGTACTAGTCAATTGGGTAGCTTGAGATTAGGAATGCCCTTCAAGAATCTAGTGTTGTCAACAATTGAAATTGCACTTTGATTTTCGAAAACACTTGACACTAATAGTGGTCAAGTCTGATAGGAAACTCAAATCACCATCTTACAGCTTCCAAGATGATTTTATTGAATGTTGAGGGTTTTGAGGTTACGAATCTTTCAAAAATTTGCAATTTGTCAATGTGAATATTCAACAATTCCGTGGCACAAACTAGACTTTAATCGATGTGATTATTACACAAAAATACCAAGTACAAGAAGTAGTAATACACTTTTCACACAATGAACGTCATTG